AACACCTCTTTTGTGTGCACAAAGAATGACTCAGCTGGATTGCCCTGGCTCTCAAAGCAGATAATGAAATGGAAATAACTTCATCTATCAACAAATTGTGAGGTCCACTGATGCCAAATTTCATCTCATTGAGCATGTCAGCCATCTGACAGGTGGCAATTTCACAAAGCAAGAGCTATGAGATGGAAAACACACAAATACACATCCTTTTACACATTCATTGTGTAAATAGTGCCTTTTTGTTTCAATCCATTTTCAGTATCTATGAATAAAGCAGCTGATAAAGGGTGAAAATCATAAAGGTTGAACAAGGAGTGCTCTTTCAAACTGGGACATCTGCTTTCACACTGAGTAAGAAGGATTTCTCTTATTATAAAAAACTGCTGAAACAAAACTGAATTAAAATAATAAGAGCTTAGCCAATTTTTTCTTTTGTTTTTCTTTTTAGCCTCAGAATTATACAGCCTATTTAAGTGAAAACCACATCTATCTAATACAACAGCTATATGTAATTTCATATGATAAAATAATCTGTTGTTGTAACATCAGTTATTCTTTAGAGGAAAAAAATCTAAATGTCGCTACTACCCGTGCTACATTCTGGACAAAGAGTTTCAAGTGAGTAAAAGAGTTAATATATCGTGGGATTGAGTACTCAGTGGTGAGCCATGCATTTTCTTCCCCAGAAGGACTGAGACATCCCTAACTGTCTGCATTTCTGTCAACATTTAGCCTCCGTGAAGTGCACTCTGAAATAGCATCGGCCAAGAAGGCAGTATCACAGTATCACAGTATCACAGTATGTTAGAGATTGGAAGGGACCTCAAAAGATCATCTAGTCCAATCCCCCTGCCAGAGCAGGAACACCTAGATAAGGTTACACAGGAACGTGTCCAGGCGGGTTTTGAATGTCTCCAGAGAAGGAGACTCCACAGCCTCCCTGGGCAGCCTGTTCCAGTGTTCTGTCACCCTCACTGAGAAGAAGTTTCTTCTCAAGTTTAAGTGGAACCTCTTGTGTTCCAGTTTGTACCCATTTCCCCTTGTCCTATCATTGTTTGCCACTGAGAAGAGCCTGGCTCCATCCTCGTGACACTCCCCCTTTATATATTTATATACACTAATAAGGTCACCCCTCAGTCTCCTCTTCTCCAAACTATAGAGACCCAGCTCCCTCAGTCTTTCCTCATAAGGGAGATGCTCCACTCCCTTAATCATCTTAGTTGCCCTGCGCTGGACTCTCTCCAGCAGGTCCCTGTCCTTCTTAAACTGAGGGGCCCAGAACTGGACACAATATTCCAGATGAGGTCTCACCAGGGCTGAGTAGAGGGGAAGGAGGACCTCTCTCGACCTACTAACCACCCCCATTCTAATACACCCCAGGATGCCATTGGCCTTCTTGGCCACAAGGGCACAGTGTCGGCTCATGGTCACCCTGTCGTCCACCAGTGTTATTTAATCTACAGTGTACTTATTTCCTTATCAGTGTGCTGAATTCTGTAATTAATTCTGAGCACCAGGGCAACAGGCTCACAGACAGAAAAACAAATATATTCATAAAATTTTGGGGGAAAAATTGCCTGGAGTACTGGCAATATTAGGTGGAAAAAACTGCAATTCCAATATAAACCTCTTAGTTTAAAATTGAAGTGTGAAATATAGATTTTTAAATATATGAGACAATTGGAAGGTTGATCCAAGAGGCTTTCTGATCCATGTCAACAAGATCTCTGTGGCTGCGGTCTTTGGTATAGATTTAGAGAGAAAAGAAGGAGGGTTGCTACACGAACTGATCAAACAAGTTAAAAATAGGGAATGATTCCATTTCAGTTAGAAACTTAAACACCAAAAGCTCCATAAATCTGTCCCATAATCCTTTTAAGACCAGTCTTATGCTCATTTTGTGAAGACTAAAGCAAAGGAAATAGCATGAAAGATTTAAGTATAGATACCTTAAATTAAAATTAGAGACTTCTGGATTAGGAGACATTTGAGCCTGTGGTTTAAGTCAGGAAGAAAGTGCCAATGGATTTGCTCAGTAATCTCGGCAGTCCATCTAACCCTCATTTTGCTAATGCCATGACAGAGAGAGTAACTGTTGCCTGTCTCCATTGCTGTATCCTGTAAGGATGCAAAGTAGTCTGTAAGGATTCCATGAGCTTCAGCTAATTATCTCGGAAACAGTTTTGATCTAGTACCATGACAGTCCTCTGATGTGACATGCTAATGACCCACAGGGAACTAGTAGGAGGAAAAGAAATACAGGACCACATTGTTATTGTTCCACATTTATCTCAACCTTGCACTACACAGCTGTAAAATGCAAATTTAAAACACTGGCAGGAAAAGGTAGGTGGGTCCTTAACGATTGCTCAGAGGCCTCCAGTTTCTCTGCCAAAGAGGATGGACATCAGGAGGCCTCAGGCATCAGACCTTTCTTAATTATCTGCAGGCCAGACTGTGACCTTATCAAGCCTTAATGACAAAGGTCCTCAGCAATCACCCTTATTCACTCAGACAGTTGTATATCTGTGTTTACTCTCCTTCTTTCCATGAAGCTTTCTACCTTTCCAATTGTTCTTACATGAGACAGAAGGGGGGAGGGGGGAAAGAAGAAAACAAAACAAAGGAAATGTACTCACTAGGTAGCAAAAGGCATGAATCTTAAGTAGTTGTGTGATTTTGAGACAGTGGTGCAGTGATAGGAAATACCCGGTTGGGACAGAAGAAAGAGATGGGAACAGTGTAGGAGTTTCCCTCAGACAAGTATAACCTTGTCCCAGGGCCAGTGCAACCACACAAAACTTGTGTGAGAGCATGCAGTAGTGACAGATCTGCCCACCTTTGATAATAATTACTTTAAAACCAGTGATCGCTCTGCTTGCATTCCACCAAACAAAAGCTTTATATGTTTGGGTTTTTTAGTTGCTGATTCACACTCAGAAAAGACAATTAGTGAGCATTGCTATTAGCAATACAGAACCCCTCCTGTGTAAGCCCCTTGCATGTGACTTGCCCCATTAGCCTTTTTTTCATGGCTTTTATTTGCTACTAAAAGAACAGCACATGTGAAGTGATGTTTGGGATTTACAGTATTATAACAGCTGCCTGCTATGTGACGACTTTTTAAAACTAATTCTGAGAAAATCAGAGTGCATGAAAACAAATTGTAAAGATCCTGACTACAGACACACTAATCCTCTACAAAGACAGTAATACTGACAGATTAAATCATTCAGAAAAGAAGCTGCGGTCACATCTCCAGGCAGGCTTTCTTAATGATGATTTATAAAAAATCTTCCTTAACTAGACTAGAGCTGCCATGGAATGCCAGAAATGGTCTCCTCAGTCAGCCTTGTTACTTAAAACACAGCTATGCAGTCAAACCCAGAAGTAAACCTAACTAAAATGGTAAAGTCAGGAGCTCAAAAATTAGGAAATCCCAGATAAAGTTGCCCTTTCTGAATCATTGCTCTTGCCCGCTTTCCTTGTCTTACGGCCGGTGCACACAACATGAAACAGTGTTTGATAGCTGCCTCATTTTTAACCACATGACCTCAAGCCTTCACTGAAAAATGTCGAATACAAAGGAAAAAAAAACAAAACAAAACCCCTGCTGGATTAGTCTGTGACAATGTTTACTTCAAATACATCACAAATACAAATAATGATTTTTAGAATACCTGTAAAGTGAGACATTTATATAGATCTCCCTTCCTATTTGGAGGTTAAAGCAGTTAAGACAGGAAGTCTCCATGAAATACAAATGTGGCATGTGAGTTCACAGCGAGTTTTGAACTTCCTTTTATACCAAGCTTCGTCTATTTGAGACTGCTTCCAGAGTCCACTTACAGCTCTTTGTTCTCAGCACACCTGTGAACTAACTAGGAACACCTACGTATTAGTGGAAGACACCTTGAATGATTTCACAAGCATAACATCAGAACTTTAGGATATGTAAGAAGGACACAATTAAATTTTAAGTGCCAAGCCGAACTGCTGGGTATGCGATTTTTTAATTTCATGTAGCATGTGTGTTCTACTCATTGCTTAGAGAAGTCAGAAGTGCTCCAGATGAAATGAGATGTAGAGGAATACTAGAGAAAATTGAAAAGACAAAGTAATGTCAGGAACTGTATCACAAGTGAAGTGAAAGAGAGTATACATTGTAACAGAAGACTGGGAGGGTGGGGGGGGAAGGAAAATAGGGAAATAACCTGCTTTTTCAGTATTGAGTGCTACATCTGGTAACAGTCCTGTTAACCTATTGGAAAACTGTCTCAGTGTGACTCATGTTTGTAGACATCCGTTCTACAAATACATGGGGTGACATGCCTCTCATTCACTTTTGCTGTTGTTTAGCCTTGACACGCTTCCCCCCCAGTGGCTGGTCCTAGCAGAGGATCTATCCACTCCATCCACAGTTCCACAAACAGAGTAACTGCTGAATGACCAGAGAGCCAATCTTTGAGAAGAAAAAAAAGCCTTCAGCTTGCTTGCTACAGCTGCCATTCTCTGCAAGATCTTTAAAAGCTCACTTAACTATTTTTGTCTGTGTATCCACTTGAAAATTTTAGTCTTAAGGAGTACCAGCTATCTGGCCAAAGTGCTTATAAGAGAGACATCAGAATTATTCACAGCCCTACACTAATTCACAAGTTACTTTTGTAGTGGAGATGGTGAAGTTTTGTGATATGATCTTATAGTTAGTACAGCAATACTGCAATTACAAAATATTTTCCTTAAAATATATTCCACATGTTTAGTTTTTTGGGGTTTTTTTTTCCCCACAAATTAGCAGTGAGAGTCTCTTCACTATAAATGAAGCCAAAAATTAACTTGCAAAGGCAAGGAGGCAGTTTGCCTGCTCACAACTACATTGTCTTTAGTCTGTATCAGAAATAATAAAGAAAAACACTATAAGACATGCATTCAGTTTTAAAGCATTAAATGTTACAAGTATGTCTGGAAAATGTGGAAAAACCCCATTTCTAGTAACTTACTTTCACTGGCTGAATAGTCCTGTGGATCAAGTATCCCTGATTCCTGCAGTGATCTAATACAGGAGTCCACCAGCTCCAGACCTGTGGTGAGCTCATCTTCTATATCCTTCTGACCATCTGTAATAAAATGAGCAACATAAGAATGTATATAACAAGGCAAAAGGTAAAACCAGCTACATGTGACTAAGCCTTCACAGCTGATGAAGAAAGGGCTAACACACCAAGATCATATATTAAGAGGAGGCTGGCCGTATTGAAAAGTATGCCATCCTTTGAAAGCCAGCCTTGGATTAATAAAAGCAAAATGAGAAAGTTCATGTCAGATCTTAAAAAAAAGTGAGAGAGACATGGTTAGCAATGCCCCTCACAAAGCTCCACATTTTGAGAGTGTTCTCAAAGAGAACTCAGTGTTTTTTTTGTCAACCCTAAAAATTTTTGCCAAATTCCACCAGCTCTTAAGTAGGGTTTTCACACACTTGCAATAAAAAAAAAAACAAAAAAACAACAACAAACTGCATAAATAAATGTTGTTTTCCCCTCTATCTTCTTCAGGAAATACGATTATTCTGGGAGAGGATATATGCAGCACATATATGTATATAAGTTCACTACCTTGTGTTTGCCAGTGAAACTGCTCTTCCGTTGAACTGAAAAAGAGAGAAAAAAGTGTTATTTTCTTATGAAATGATTCAGTAATGTGCCATCAAAATTCAGCTGTAAATCTATTCTGAAGGAACTGATTTAAGGATAAATGAACTGACTTAAGGATAAATAAGAAAACATATCAAGGATTGTTTTACATATTTTTAAGTGAATGACTTGCACAGCATTCATTCAGCAGGAGGGAAGCATCTTCACTTCTTAATTAGGTAATTCCAAATATACATATAGTAACTGCCCTTAGTCTTGATATACAAATTATACTATTCCAAAGCAAAAACATTTTGAAACTTTTTTTGATCCTCCTATTTGTCGCATTTTCCATTTTCATAGAGGAAGTTATAAACTGCTTTCTCAAGTGAACATTACATGTGCTTTCTAAAAGAAATTACAAGTATGGCTCTTGGTTCTGCTGATCATTATGTGCATTTTTATACTATCCAAATGTGCAGCTAAGTTAATTCAATTGGCCTACACAAGAGAGTAAATTTAGATGTGTTTGTGCTTCTAAGTACAAGCACTTAAGCAATGGAAGGTCTTAATTTTAAAATAATGAACATGCACTCAAAAGGATGGGTTAGGTAGGGTGTTTTTTTCTATAAAATAAACTCTATATTCAAATAAATGATAAAATGAATGATCTATTCAATTAGGCAATGAGTACACTTTCCTCCAAGGCATGATCTGTTTATGCTTCAATACAGGTCTTTCTCATGCCAAGAATACAAAAAGAATTTAAGTTACTCAGTAATAACCACTCTTTTGATAACAGTAAACTGATTTATTATAGTCATAATTAAAACATTTTTCTGTACATTTTTACAAGATATTTGTACAGGAGAACAAAATGATCTGTTGCATGCAGTGGTTTAAAAAATAAAGACAGAAATTACTTTAACTTTTGAAACGAAATTTATTTCTCTCTGATGTTGAGAATAAATGTTCTTTTTAATGAGCAAAAGGATTTTAAATCTTGAATTATTTTCCCTTTTCCCAAGACACGCTGGATCTCTTATGAATATGTGAGTATAGCTCCTAGTATCTATGCTCTAAACAAGAATAACAAATGTAATTATCTCTTCACATTATTCTCTCTTTATAGAAAAAGAACTTGGGTTAATCATTTATCAGGTTTGAAAGTGTAAAAAAAAAGTGTACTTGCCTAATTTACATGGAAATACTTCTAAAAGGACAACTTTCAATTTCTAACTGGCATCTGAAGTGTTAATCTGACAAATTCAAGTCTATACATGATCATCAGTTTCCAAATATCTACCATCTGTGCTTTATATTGACTCACTGTGGTGAGATTTCAGAGATGAAGAGGCTAGCCTTTGAATGAGACAATCAAAACCCTTGCATTCGAGTCCACTGAAGTTAATAATATGGAAGATAAACATAGCCAGTGTCATCTGGCAAATAATAATGGCAAAGTGCTAAACTGGAAGATACTACTGTAATATAAATTACCTTTTCAAATGGAGCCCTACTGAGCGGTGACTAGGGACAGTGGCTCTTTTTGGAAAGTTACTTTCTCTAATTTGAAATTCCTTTTGCCTGATTTTCAGAATCGCTGAACAACTGCAGCTTCTGTTGACACAGTGGGACTTGAGAGCAATCTTCTTTCTGGAATTTGCATCATTCATAATAAGCAATGTATTACTTTACACTACACGGTCCTTCTTCCAGTATCCAGAATTCTATGTGATAGATACCACATCAAAAGACAGAAAAAAGTAATATCTCAGGTGGCATTCTTGCTGCCAGAATGACATACTGAACATTGCTGGCAAGAACATGCTGATGTAAAAGACTGTGCCACCTGATCCACATCAGCAAGAACAGAAAATCAATTCTGTGCACAGGGTAAATTATCATTTTCAGGAATTCCAGCTTAGCCCTTTTTAAGCAGCAGGTTTGTATAAAATGTAGAAGTTTATTATTAACTAGTGGCTTACTAATGATACCTGATACAACTAGTCTGGCTTGCATAGAAACATTTTAATGTATTCACCTTAAGAAATCTTAAATAGGAAGGTCTAAAGAAGGTTTGCAATACATTTTGATCATATTTTGGCTTTTCCAGTTTTAGTCTGGCTTCTCCTCACAACTACTGTAATAAATACTGTATTTTTTGTAGTCAGGGTAACAGATTCACAATCTTTTTTTTTTTCCTAATGCAATCTTCTTATTCAACATATGGAATATGGAACAGGCTGCCAAGGGAAGTGGTGGAGTCACCATCCCTGGAGGTATCTAAAATATGTGTAGAAGCAATGCTTAGGGATATGGTCTACTGGTGGACTTGGTAATGCTGGGTTAACATTTCAACTTCATGATCTTTAGGGTCTTTTCCAACCTAAATGATTATATGATTCTATATTAAAGTGTATTTGTCCCTACAAGGATATGAATACATTCTGGTATGAAGAGTGTGCCATTTCCGGAGTTAAATTAATGCTTTTTAAGTTTTGAATAGTCCAATATAGTTGCACATGACAATGCCATTTCTTGGTTACAAACTCATGCCCTAGTTTTGCAGGCAAACAAGTAAAGGGTTTCCTTAGAAAAATCTTATTAGGATTTGTCAGTTTAAACTTAGATAACCTGTTTTTTTCTTCTTTTTTCTTTTTAATCTTTTTCCTTTTTAATCTTTTTTCTTTTTAATCTTAGCCTTTTTTTTTCTCCCCCCCTCCCTTTTTTTCAAATGAGCTTTTCCCCATTTTGTCCTGAAAATGATTCCTGATTGAAGCAACCTGACATGTCTGTGCAATGAGCCTTTAGGCTGTCACACAACTGTGCCAAATCTGCTTGAGTGAATAAAAAGTACTTTTTGTGCTTTTCTTTTAGGTGTTTCCAGCTTCAAAAGAGAGAGCAGTACAACTGACTGTATACCCACATCAAATACATGAAAAGACAAAAAACCAAAAACTAGAATCACAGGATCGACTAGATTGAAAACGACCTTCAAGATCCAGCCTTTACCCCAAGACCGCCACTAAACCATATCACTGAGGGCTCCATCTACATGGTTTTTGAACACTGCCAGAAACAGTGATTCCACCACTTCCCTGGGCAGCCTGTTCCAATTCCTGATCATCCTTACAATGAAGAAATCCTTCCTAATACCCAATCTAAACCTCCCCTGGTGCAGCTTGAGGCCATTACCTCTTGTTCTGTCACTTGTTACTTGGAAAAGGAGAACAACCCCCTCTCACAACACCTCCTTTCAGGTAGTCGGAGAGAGTGGTAAGGTCCCCCCTGACCCTTCTCCAGACTAAACACCCCCAGTTCCCTCAGCTGCTTCACATCACACTTGTTCTCCAGACCCTTCCGCCATCTTCATTGCCCTTCTCTGGACCCACTTCAGCACCTCAGTGTCTCTCTTGTAGTGAGTAGTCCAGAACTGAACACAGGATGCAAGGTGCAGCCTCACCAGTGCTGAGTACAGGGGGATGATCCCTGCCCTGGCCCTGCTGGCTGTGCTATTTCTGATACAGGCCAGGATGCTGTTGGCCTTCTTGGCTGCCTGGGCACAAGCTGGCTCATGTTCAGCAGCTGTCAGTCAGCATTCCCAGGTCCTTTTCTGCTGAGCAGCTTTCCAGCCAATCTTTGCTTGGGTTGTTCTGACCTAAGTGCAGCACCCGGTACTTCGCCTAGTTGAACCTCATACCACTGGCTATGGCCCATCAATCCAGCCCGTCCAGATCCCTCTGCAGAGCCTTCATGTCCTTCAGCAGGTCAACGCTCCCAGCCAACTTGGGGGCAACTGAAAATTTACTGAGGGTGTGAACACCCAATGATTCACTTTCAAAGCATGTGCTGGGGAGCAGCAAGGGCACCTTGGACTCAGGTGATCTCCAAGAAGTCAGGAGTGTGCCCAACGCTCAGGCAGCAGGGACAACAGTGGGGCAAAGGCAACTTACATCTAACTTGCAGCTAAATGCACACATTTTGCACACTACCTGGTCACAGCGGTACTTGTAGAATTGCTTGGGTTTAGACATTGCATGCCCTAATGTGAGGCCTGACTCCCTTCTGATTAATGCCTTTTGATAGCTTCTGAAGCATCTTGTGCAAGAAGGAGGCTCACCACACTGTACACACTTCTCATACCGTATTTACTATGCAGCCTATTGAAATTCATTTTTCTTAGCCTGTGCACCAATGTACATCAGTGCAAATGCACGCTGGCCCATATGATTTGGCTATTCGAGTCCTATGTCTTACCATTCCTTGGAAGAGCACCATAGCAAAGAAACTGAGCTCTTGATAGGAAGGGATATAGTCGTTAATTATCCACCAAATGTTTGTGTGTCTCTTCTTTGTGCGAAGTCATTCAGTTTACAGTTGTCATTTTTTGAGAAAGTGCTATAGCTATCTGCTACACAAAAATATTTCTTCTTACTGTTTTCTAAAACAATTAATGAAATTGTATCTAATATTACTATAAAACAACTATGAAAGGATTTTTATTAGGAGTTGTATCAGCACACGATCTTTTCAATTATTTCTGCAATGAAGCCACACAAACATCACCGTATATAATTACAGGCAGAAGCTGTCTCACTGATTTCTAAATTGTTATTCTGGTTGTAGAAGGTGGACTAAAAAAGATTCAGAAGTATTCCACAAAAAGCTAAGAGTTTGAGAAACTAATACTGCAGCTACAGCAAAGGAGAAGCAGATTTTAAATCAGTGGTGCACTTCAGGTTATCTGCAAAACAGTAATCAGTTTTTAGTATCAACTATCTGGGAAAAAAAAAGCCAAACCAAAATCCTAAGAACAAATTTAACATTAAATCATCCCATGAAAACATAGCAACTGCTCAATAAATATACAGAAGACCACCCCCAAGCACAAGGTTTTATTTTTGTTGCCCAATTTAAAACTAAATGCCTGTAGATGTGACGCAATATCGTCTCTGAAATATTTAATCACACTCTATTAGTCAGCTGTGGTATCAACTTGGCTACTATATCAACA